TAAAAACTTTAGTATCAATGGGTCTAACTCCATTTAAAAGAAAGCTTATTGGTATTTTTTCACTGAGGTTGTGTTAAATTTATAAATCAACTTAGAACTTACCTACTTATAATGCTGAATCATTCTTTCCAAGAATAGGGGACATCCTTCCATTTGAGAAAATCTAATTTTGTGTTTTTTAGGAAAGCTTTATAGTTTTTCTCATACAGGTTTTGCACATTCTGGTAAATTAATTCCTAAGTATTTAATCTTTTTGTTATTGCTGTAAGTGGAGTTTTCTCTACTACTAGGTCTTTTAATTGGCTATCATTTGCGTAAATGAAGGCTATTGATTTTTGTGTGTATGTATTCTGCTACCTTACTGAATTCTTTTAGTGTTTTAGTTTTATCATTGATTCTCTACCAGGAAAATCCTATAGTATCATATCATCTGCAACCAGATATAGCTTTACTTCTTCCTTACCAAATCTTATGCCTGTAATTGATTTATTTTGTCCAATTGCATTGATTAATCTCTCTAGTATAATATTAATTAGTAGCAGAGATAGTGAGCCTCTTTGCCTTGTTCCTGATTTTAGTGGAAATGCCTCTAGTATTTCCCCTTTTAAGAAACTGGCTTTAGAACTAAGATATGTATATTTTATCATGTTAATGAAGTACCACTCAATTCCTATTTTCTCAAGTCTTTTTATAAAGAATAGGTGTTGAATTTTATTTAAGGCCTCTCTGGCATCTATGGAGATAATCATATGGGGTTTTTTTTCCTTTAAATATGGTATATGATACTAATCGATTTCTTAATATTGAACCAACCTTCTATTCCTAGAATAAATCCCATTTAGTCATGGTATATTAATTTCTTAATGTGGTATTGTTTGCTCACATTTATTATTTCCGCATTAATATCCTGAGTGATATTGGTCTATATTCCCTCCCCCTCCCTCCCTTCCATTCTTTATCAGGTTTAGGTGTCAAACCTTCATAAAATGTTCATAAAAGAAATGGGGAAGTTCTGTTTTATTTTCAATGCTCTGAAACAATTTATAGAGCATTGGGATTATCTGGACTTGGGAGGTTTAGAATTCCTCTGGAAAACCATCTGGGCCTGAGATCATCTCCTTTGCTACCCTTGAAGGAGGAAGATTCCCAGATGGACTTTAAAATTGTGAGAGAGACCTTGAATTTTCAGCTGACAGTGGGTTTTAAGCTAAATTGGCTGGTCAGTTTCCTTTGTGTTCCTCTTGGAGAACTTGTGATTTAAATTACATGTCAAGAAATCAAGCATCCTCTCTTTCCACTTGCAAGAGCTATGAGGCTACTTTGGAGCCATTACCAGATATAAACAGAGGACACTGTACCTCTTGAAAATTCAAAATACACCAATGCACCCTTAGGATTTCACTGCAGTGCCCTGGAAGACCTCATCACACAGTTTGGGAACCACAGGTATATAGCCTTCCAGCCTTTTTTCCAATGCATGTATGTATATACACTCACATATACACTCATAGATATTTTTGAGCTCATACCATACACAATTTTATACACTACTTAAAAATCTCTGATGATAAAATATATACATTTTCCATGTCATTGAATATTCTTTAGTAACACTATTTTTGATACTGTAGTCTATCCTATGAATATATCAGAATTAAGTACCTACTGTTGGATATTTAAGATATTTGTAACTATTTTTCCTAGTTCAGTGAACATCCTAGTGACTAAATCTTTGCATTGCCTTGGGATAAATTCCTAGACATAGAATTGCTGGATCAAAGGGTATGACTATCTTATAGGGTTTTTTTTTTTTTTGGTAAAGATTTTATTTTTTTAAGTAATCTCTACACCCAATGTGAGGCTCAAACCCACAACCCTGAAACTGAGAGACGCACGCTTCACCAACTGAGCCAGCCAGGCGCCCCATCTTGTAAGTTGTTTTTTTTTGGGCCACATTTTTTATTGAAGTAGAATTGAGACACAGTGTTACATCAGTTTCAGGTGTACAACAGTGATGTGACAAATCTATGCTACGGTATGTTGTGCTCACCACAAGTGTAGCTCCCATCTGTCACCATACAAGGCTATTACAGTACCATTGACTATAGTCCCTATGCTGTACCTTTTATCCCCATGACTTATTCATTCCATGACTGGAAGCCTGTATCTCCCACTGCCCTTCACCCATTTTGCCCATCTCCTCTTCCCCTCCCCTCTGGCAACCATCAGTTTGTTCTCTGTATTTTTGGGTCTCTTTCTGCTTTTGTTCGCTCATTTGTTTTGGTTTTTAGAGTCCACATACAAGTGAAATCATGGTATTTGTCTGACTTATTTCACTTAGCATAATTTGTATCTTATAGTTTGATAAATATTGGGAAATTGCCCTCTAGAAAGAGTGTAACAACTTATACTTTCTCTAGTCTTATATGTGAGTATGTTATAGGCTTTTCATTTGATGGTAAGAGTTTGATTATAAGTGATTATGAATATAGATTCAGATATTTGTGTGTTTTAGGCACTATACTAGGCACTTTTTCATACACACACGATTTAATTGTATTTACATAAGCCTGTTTTAAATCTTCTTAACAACCTTGTAAAATTGAAGTTATCCCCATTTCACAGATAAACTGGGACTCAAAGATAAAACTTTTTCAAAATCACGCAACCAAAGAAATTGTAGAGCTGGGAGTTAAACCTAGTTAGACCCATAATCTTATTACTATATCACTGATACTTCATGAACTTGATTGATGATGATAATGGCTCATACATATTGAGTGCTTATTATGCATTAGGTACTATTTACATGTATTAACACATTCAGTCTTTGTTTCAAACTTATGAGGTACTATCACTATTATCCCTGAGACACTGAAATGATTAATGTGTTCAGGGTCACACAGCTAATAAATGGTAGAGCTGATATTCAAATCCAGGCAGTTTGACTTCACAGTCTGTACCCTTAATGACCAAACTACAGTATGACAGTTTGCAGAGTTGTGGAAGATTGTGTATCAGAATCTCATTATGAATGCTTTTTTCTGTCGCTGTCTTAAGAACATATCCAGCAGTATGGTTGCAAATTTTCTGTCCCTGTACATGCAGCCTTTTCTCTGGCAGCAATATACGGCCCTTGTAAGCTTAATGCAAGAACTGTGTTCTATTCAGAGTCACCTCCAGGTCTGAGGGATATAACTTGAATGGAAAATCTTCCAGTGAACTTGGTGACCCAAACTTAATCAAATAAATGAAACAGTATTTCTAAAGTAATTGGGGAAGATCTTAAGTATTATCATTTGAGATGGGTACACTTTCTGGTTTACATAAGTGTGCTCTAGACTCCTCCTCTTATTGATGTTTGTTGGGTAAATGAAGCACCCTCATTGTTATTTTAGGCTTTTTCCTATAGCCTTACTTTGGTATTTAGGTATTATTAAAAATTATGCAGATTATGACAAATGGTGTTATTTTTATATCATTTCTGTAAATGCTCAACATTATTCTCTCTCACCCGCCCCCCCGAAAAAAACAACTTAATGAGCCACAAAACATGTTATAATGAATGGAAAAATATTTTTAGCATTTTTATGCAGAAAATGCCTCATTAAAAGCAAATGCTTTAGCAAGCAGATTTGAGCTTAATAAAACTTTTGTTGAGCAGGAGCTTTTATGACAAATTACTAGCATGTGTAACTATTCTATATAAAGACCTAGAAAGCCCTAAGAGTCTCTCACCTTCCTTTCTTATCCCTGGGACTGCAGCAACATAGTTGAGTGTGACACGGCACAGAGGAGACTCGATGAGCCTGAAGAACATGGAGCCCATGGTGCAGCCACAAGTAAGAAAAATATCTATGTATTGGTCAATATCACTCACTGTTTTATCTGGCTGTGTAATAACATGCAGATTCATTTAGATGAAGTCTGTTCTTAGCTGGATGTTTGGCATCCTGCAGTCCAGATATTTTGCATCTGTTTTGCATATTGTAAAAGCCATAAGGGTGCAGGGTTTATTACTATACATAGAAACTTAATTTCAAGTACTTGGACCCACACTCGTAACTTCTTTAGACTTTGGGCCTCAAACTGTAATGACAAGGGAGCAGGGATCCAGCCATATGGGCTGATTTGGTCACAGAAATCATAGCCCCTCACTTCAGTGATGCCCTCCTCAGAGGCACAAAATGCTCACCTATCCCCACCAAGGCCTTAGAAAGCACACTTGTAGTGATGATGTTTGTAGGTGTTGTGAGCTGGGCTCAGCTTCATCTGTGAGTCATACTTGGGGGCTTGGGCTGAGTTACAGGCACACCCACCCAGGCAAAGCTGAAATCACCAGCTGATGAGGACACTCGGGTAACTGGTTACCCCGCAGCACTAGCCTTCCTTATAGAAAGGGGGAGCATAAAAGGATGACATGGCTCATCTTCAAGTGGTGATTTTTCACATCATGTAAGTTTTTTTTCCCAACCCACCCCACCGAGTCATCTACACCATCACCTGACCAGTAACAGTGAACATTTATTGAGGTCTAAGTCTGTGCCAGGCATGTTGCTACATTATTTCCATGCCTTATCTCATTTACCCCTCAAACTGTATGAGCTAGGTGCTATTGATATCCCCATATTACAGATGAGGGGACTGAGGACAAAGAAGTAACCTGCCCTAAATCTTTCAGCTTGTATGCAGAAAAATGAGTGTTTGAAGCAAAATTTTCCCCCTGATTTCAGAGTCCTTAATTATTATTGCTTTGCTGCACTGTACAACCAGTTAACTAAAACAAAACAAAACAAAACAAAACCTCTGTATTCCCACTCTATTCCCCAAAAGACGCATGAATGAAAGGGGGGAAAAAATCCAGTCGCTCTCAAATGCCCATGACTTGTTCTCTTAGGTGGCCCAGCCTCCTCCACTAGGAGGAAGGAAATGGACTCCCAAGACCCACTCATGCTTCCCGATGAGCAAGGCCAGGGCTGCTGGATGGCCACCAAGCTCACCGTTAAGAAGTGCCGGTCCTTAACTTCGCGCCTCCTCTGGCTGTGAGCTGGGGGATAGGCTGGCAGTGGAGGAGCCGCTACGGAAAGGGGGACAGCAGCTCTCTGCTCCCGGCGATCACTCCGGCTCCGGTGTTCTGGGGGCAGAGAAAGTAATGATACAGAAACATCCTTGGCATTTTCCATTTCTCTTTCCCCCTTGGGAGGGTGAGCAAAAGGCTAGAAAAAAGTGAGTTTTTCCTAATCTAGCTCATCTGTATACCAAATAAGATTTTCAGAATGGTTTCAAACTAAACTTTCACTTCACAATAATATGTAAATGGGCACTTATATTTTAGTGGGTCCATCTCATAGTGAGATGGCTCGCTCTGAGTTTGGAAAAAGCAGTGTATTTTCAACGTGCTTCATTTCAAAACAACATGAGCAAAAAAAAATAAAAGAAGTCTAGAGTAATGGTGGAAGCTTTGCTGACACTGATGCTGGAGTGGATCATAGGCACAGGCATGCCAGAGCCTCTTGGGGAGTGGCAGGAACAAAGGCTCACAGCCATCCAGTGGGTGGTGGAGTCAGCTCACACTGGCTCAGGGCTGCGGGCTGCTGCGTGGTCAGGAATTTTGCGGGCCAGTGGTAGCTTGAAATTGGCCACGGTGGGGGTATTTACATCACAGAAATTAGTGGGTGTTACACATCAGGGCTTTTATCTTCTTACCATCTATCTATTTATCTATGTTTTCTTTTCTAGAGAGCCTGTGACCAGCGCACCATTGCAGCCATCTAAGCCCTGTCATGCCTAACACTCAGAGGGCTTTGAAATCCTAGGCTCCTTGAGAAAGTAAAGGAAACCCAATGATGACAGCTTTATCCCTAAATCAGATGATTTAGGGATAAAGCTACCTCTGAGGAAAGCCAAGAGATTTCTGTTTGTGGGATAAAGTGGTCCTGACTTCACAACAAGAATCACTGAGAACCCAAGAGCACAGTTTAGCTTTCTGGGTGTTTCAATGAGCTACAAAGCACACCCTGCCCAACACACTGGCCACAGTAAAGACCACCCTGCCTGCAAATCCAGCCCACGCTCATGCCTGGGGCCTCCTCGTCTAACCCAGATACACAGTCACCATATAGGTAGTCTGTGCTAAACTGCTGCCACAGCCAGTGTTTAGCAGAAATCCCTTTTGAGATAAATGTCTTCCTTGTTAAAGTGTCTACCTCCAGTGCCACCTTCTTTTTTCTCTGCAAGCAAACAGTGGGCTTTTCTAAATGGGCAGCACAAGGAAAAAGTTACATTTTAAAATTCATAATGAGGAGTAGAATACAGGTGTCACTGGTTAGGAAAAGGTTGGAGGAAGGGGGTCGGGAGGGAGACATCAATTCAATTTCCCATTTAGTTGCTCCCTTCCTACAGTTTCTTAAATCTCTCTTTCATTTGCCCTAGGCTGGGAGGAGGCAGGCTAGATTAATAGCTGCCTAATAATATTTTTTTCTGGCGGTGTGGTGGGGACGACATTCATCTGCTAGAGTCTAAAACTGCAGTAGACTTTTGGTCCTTATTCCTTTAGACCAGTGGAACTTAGACCTCAGCCCTGAAACTTGAAAGAAAATATAAATATCTCTTTATAGCCACTTAGTAATCTCTCTCCCTGTCTTACAAACATAAACAATGGCATCACTTAAAGCCATTATTGGCTCTGAGTATAAAGAATTGCCAAGAAAAAGGGGAAAGAAAGAGGAATCAGATTCTAAATAATTCAAAATCCAATGAGGTGTAACTTGCTCTGGGAAGCCTTCTCTGAAGCTCCATGGCATGATTAGTGCCTCTCCTCTGAGTGCCCATAGCACTGTGCTGAAATTACCTGGTCACTTGTCTGTCTCCTTCACCAGACAGGCATTCCCTGTGGACAGGGACCAGATGTTAGTTACTGCTCTCTGAATCCTAGGTTTAGCACAATGCTGGGGCCTCAGTAGGCTTTGCTGAGGGGTTTGCTACTGGGCAGATCTTGAAAGCAGTCAATTTCTAGGTTCTGATCTCAGTCCTCCCAGCTCTCTCCTTAGAGCCTCACCCCCAAAAAGAGCACAGCGCTGCTGCCACCACAGCTTTACTTGTCCGGGCTTCATTATCTACTCAGTCCTGGTGGAAGCCAGGATCTTCCAGCTGTCCAAATAGAGAACCTCCAGGGAAGCTCACTGCGGCATCTGCCGAGCAAGGCCGTTGTCTGGTGTTAGTCAAGGCCACCAGATGGCAGAAGTGGTATTCTGATGAATGCACTGCTAAGCTACTGTTTCTTGGACAAGGTTAAAAAAAAAAAAGTCACTTTCTAATTTTAATTCCACACTGCATGTTTTTAATTCTGTGATGCCTATAATTCCTGTTTATGGCTCTCTGCAGTGCTATTAAAACTACTACACCCAAGATTTGCTGTTGAGACAACCTCAAAGAAAGCCAGTCTGTGGAGGACAAGATGCAGCTCCACAGTCTTCCTTCTAAAACCCCAGGAGGCATTATATCCCTCTCTCAGCCCCCAGGAGGAAGTTCTGAGAAAACTGATATTGGTACTTGCTGTTCCTCAGTTCTGTCATTAAGTCCAAACCCAACAACACAGTGAAATGTGATAGCTTACAAGCCGCTTAGTGTTATCTGGTTGAATCTGGAAAAATCTAATCAGGGATGATTTATGAATAATAATAAAAGGATAAAAATAATTATGTCTAAAGGGCTAACGTAACTCAAGCTCTCTGATGATGGGATCAGAGAAAGTATCTAGTGAGAATGATCGGATTCCTGTGTCATCATTCTGTGCCCTTAATGCTCAACCAGTTTCCTACAGAGTTTGATTTACTTACACACACATTCATTGAGGACAAACTCTATGTCAGGTTCATGCTAAGTGATTTGAATAAAAAAATTAATAAGACACCATCCAGAGCTCTTGAGTTGCTCATGGATTAATGGTGGAAGACAGGCCTGTAAGAGGCTAGAGATGATGTAAGCTTATAAGTGGCACGACTGGGAAGATGCAAAGGATATTATGGGAAGGGTGCCTTATCGAGGCTGCAAAGGAATGGTGAGTGTTAAAGAAAATTTCCAGAAGGTGGCTTGCACTAAAAATTTGGTAAAGAAGTACTTTTTAGCCAACTACAAAATCGAAGTGACTCAATTTAAAAAATCCAAGTGAATAGTAAGAATGCCAGAGATACTTCTAGAGGATACTGGTCATCACTATTATAGCTGTCACAGTATCTGCTACCAATAACCAAGGGGAATTTTTAGAAACAGTTGCATTAGGGATATTAGTAGGTTAATTCTTTTGTTAAAGGGGGGAGAAGATGGGATTTGGGGAAAGGGAAAAGTCATAAACATGTGGAAGAAAATAAGTTGAAAACAAATGTGTCATTTCTCCATCCTCATAGTGACATTAAAATGTTTTTTTTTTATTGTAATACTTTTGAAAAATACTATTCCTTAAAGGACCATAGGGAATTTGGAACAAAGGCACTGAATGTACAGATACCATCTGTCTCCACAGCAAAAATCTAAAGACCAAAAAAGCTGGTGTGCCCACTTCTGATACCCAACTTAGGGGGCTCTAAAAGGGTGATGCCAGTTTTTAATCTCCTTGTCCTAACTACAATGGTTTTAAGCCACTGGAAAGTAAGAGAAGGCTGTTACCTTCTACCTTGCCTGCTATGTGTCTTATCTCTGGCTTTTTCAGGACTGTGAGAGAAAGAGAAAGAGAAATATTTATTTTCCTAGGACACCGTATGGTGAGGAGGAAAAGAGCTCTGGCTGGGGGTCTGGAGGCCTGGATCAGGGTCTTGGCACTCTGCCTAATGGGGTATGTGACCCTGAGCAAGTTTTCTGACCTCTCTAGGCCTCCACGTGCTCCACTGTAGAATGGACCAGATCACCGGTTCTCGACAGGAGCACATCCCCCGAGGGAGGTTCTGGTTGTTAGATGACTAGGCGAGAGCCAAGGATGACAGCTGTCCTACAAGGCACAGGAGGGTCCTGAACAAACAAATAGTGCCCTAGGTCCCACCTGTGTTCTACCAGCATTTCTTGACAGGGAAAAGCCTAGAACCTATTTCTGAGTCAAACCTAATTCTCTTTTAATTATAACCCAAAGGGTTTTCTTTTTGTTGTTTCTTTTTCTGTAGTTTTTTTGCTCATGTTTAATGTATGCAGAATGCACCAGTTTTGATGGTTGTGTCCTCCTGCCCCTTAACTCCTTCATTTCCCTCTACTTTTTGTTCAGAATGGCTTCTGATTATCTTTACTTAATCCAAACCTACTTTTGATAGGCACAAACATCTGACTGCTTTATGATGTCTTTTAGTGTAGTCATGCCCAGGTATTTGTATATTGCAAATGTTATAAATTTCCTTTTAAATTCTCTTTATTATCATATTTAGACCATGGTGCTCTTTCTAATTATACATATAAGCAGGTTATATTACCCCTGAAATTCATGTCCATGTAGAAAAGGGAGCATTTCAAAGTAGTTGCTATAACAAGGTGAGGTGTTAGAACTGATGGGACAAAGAACAGCCCCTGGATGGGACAAGCTCTGAGTCCTCTCCCCGAAAAGCCCCCTGAGCCGGGGACCAGTTACCTCTGCGCAGGGCTTGCAGGCTCTGCCTGGCATGGCGGTGCAGCTCCTCCACACAGGGCGGCCTTGTGGCCGGGAGGAAGATGTTTCTCTGCTGGTGCCATGGTGCACGGTAGTATACGCTCAGTTTACTCTCAATGTCCAGGGTGGAGACGGCTGCAAGACAAAGAGAGAAATGGGGCATTATATATCACAAGCTTTAAATTGTGCATCTGGCAGAGCCTGGGGTGGGGGACAGGAGTGGAGTCTGGGTGGAGTGGAAGTCCAGAGCGCTGCGTTCACATTAGGAATGCACTCAAGGCTGGAGAAAGGTTTGTCGCTTACAGTATGGAAAGAGACCACCTTTGCCCCCAAGCTAAGGGATGGGAGACCCCAGTATACCAACCATCTGCCTGTGACCAGCTTACTTTCTCTCCATACCTCTTTGCACTCTCTGACACAGTCGCTCATCAACCTGGACAGACTCTTGGCCATCCATGCTTGGGAGTGGGGTGCCGGGGGTGGGGGGGTCTGCCTTCCAAGAATGCAGAGAAAAGCCTCAGGAATGAGTCAAAAAGGTCACCCTAGCTCCAGTCTTCTGGCCATAGGGCCTCAGGATTATAGTTCTGCACACCTGCTCCTGATGCCCACCTGAACTTTGCTTCTCCCTTGCTCTGCTTTCTGTCTCCTGTGACCCCTGGCCCCCAACCCTGATTATTTCACCTTATCTTGTTTGCCAACTCCGTTGCCTGCCATCTTTTGAAGCATTGCTCAGCTTCCTTAGTTTCATCTAGGGGAGAGGACAAGCACTGAAGAACCCATTGCAGGGGTACTGGGGGTTAAGTGAGGAAATCACAGACAGTGCAGGTGAGGAAAGAGGTACCATCCTTGCAACTCATCCAAGAGATCAGGGAAAGAGGCCTCTTTCCCCCAAACACACCCTAGGTCTTCATGTACATACTGAGCCTAGGATAGAGATCACCTACGAGTGATCGTCAGATACATTTATCTTCAGATAAATTCTCATGGGAAGAGCTGGTCCTAAGCAGGAGGATTCTGGTTAGGAAATTACTGTACAGAGGAACTCCTGAGCACCTGGGCAGCTCGCCAGCCTCAGGAATAGTGAGAACTGGCCCAGAGGGCTTCACCTGCCAGACCTGTTATCCTGACCAGACCCCTGTTCCTCCCAGTCTCATTGTCTCACTCTGCTTCTTTCCCACCTTTTCCCCAGTGTACGATTTGGGCGTGTTCTGCCCAAGTGTTTATTCCTGTGCCCCAAACAGACTTTTGGTTCTTCTCTGATCCTTTTCTTTTTGAAGTCCGGTTTACCATTTCACTTTGTCCGGGAAGCCTTACACAGAACAAGATACTTGACAGATAAAGCAGAAAGACAAATGGAAAAGGAGGGAGGATACTTTTGTAGAAAGGAAATAGAAGAAAACTGGGGAAAATGCAACCTTTTGGTAATTAATCCTCCTCCCCCCACCCGGTACTGCATTTATGGCAATTAGTTTTGGTTTTTTCTTTTTTTTAATTTTTTTTTTTTTTGGAGAGAGAGTGTGCGCACTAGTGCGGGGGAGGGGCAGAGAGGGAGAGAGAATCTCAAGCAGGCTCCATGTTCAGTGTGGAGCCCGATGCAGGGCTCGACCCACAACCCTGAGATCATGACCTGAGCCAAAATCAAGAGTTGGACACTTAACTGAGCCACCCAGTTGCCCCTTGGTTTTCTTTTCTAATGCAGTCTTCGGTAGTCTTTTTTTTTTCCCTAGGATAATGCATCATAATCACAAGGACCGCCAATAGAAACAGATATTTCCAAAGATACTAAAGAAACATCACATGGGCAGCATCAAAGGGACAATTCCATACTTGTAAATAATGCCATGCAACAGAAATTTCTGTGATATGCCATCCAATGTGGTAGCTACTGGCCACATTGGCTATTAAACACTTTATAATTTTTTAAAAACTTTAAATAGCTATAGGTACCTATTCTATTGGACAACCATAACCATGAATATTCTATTATATTCTCTCACCTTCAGCTACAGAGCAGATTACTCCCTTTGACCTACATTTTTTCTTCGTTGGTGTTTAATCTCTAATAATTCAGGCCCAAGGGTTAGAGATCCCAGAATTATCTTCCTGGGTGGGGAGAGTATTTTTAGGGCAGAGTTCTATGGGGCTAAGCATAAAGGCAGCCACTTTTCTTTCGTCATTTACTCTATAACCTCAACCCTTTCCTTGGAAACCGTAAGTGCTTGGTGAACCAGTCGGGGGTCCCACTGAGTTCTGGGGACAAGAAAACCTAGGAGGAATCACTAAGGGAGAAACCAGCCTCTTCAGGCCTCACATGAGGCATGGGAGGCCTCGAGGTAGAAAGGGCAGGCCATATCTAGATTGGAGCCTCCCTTCTCTCCTGTGTCAAGTAGCGGGGAATGTGAAGGCAGAGGCTTTATTTAGCCACCCTCAGAGGAATGCTCTGGTTCAGTGACGAAGACTGACTATAAAAAGTCAGCCCCTGCCTGGTTGCAGAGGTCAACTGCAAAGAGGACAAAGGTCATTATCAAACTTAGTAGAGGTGGGTGGGAATTCATGTGCTAGTGACAGCTGGGAGAAGGTACTGAACAGAGAGCTTGCCTGGGGAAAAGAAGAGGCCAAGAAGTTCAGTGGGCAGTTCCAGGAGTGGAGGGGCTCCTGAGCCACCTCCTCTCCCAGGCCCATCCCTTTAGGAAAGTAGGAACCAGGATTCAGGGCTGAGCCCAGGTGACTTGGGGATAGACCAAAGACTTTTATAGCCCCTCAGAAACCAGGTCAAGTGGCCATGGCACCTTAATCTTTGTATGGGGAAGAGCTAAGCTCCTGCTGTTTATCTCAGTGTTCATCTGAAGAAAAGACTCATCAGAAGTGCTTGTCAAAAACAGACTACTGGGCTGCAGCCTAGACTTCCTGAACCAGAATTTCCTGCAGAGGCCTAGTACTCTGTGTATTTGAAAAGTGCCCTCAGATTATTTTTTTAACATGAGGTATATATATCAGAAACACAAAACGTTATCTGATGATGCCTTGGAATCTTATGTGAATGAAGGGAGATGGGCAACATGGTGGGCAGGAAGAGACTGCTGAAAATGGAAACATCTATCCACACCTGGAATATTTTCCAAATAGTTCTTAATGTCCTAGGCACAGTGCTGGGTGCTGGGATATAGCACAGAACAAAACACACAAGAATCCTTGCCCTCCTGGAGTATATGTTCTCTGGTTCTGTGTGAAAATGGTTTAGATGTGATTGTGCCTGGAAGCAGTCGGTTGGGCGAAGAGCGACTGACTCTGTTCTACTATTATACCATTCCCTGGAGGTAGTCCAAGACCTCTAGACTTCTAAAGGCCCTAACACCAAAAAGATCATAGTCTCCACTCCTCCATCTCCACCTTTCTGCAGTAGGTAATCCCAAATTAAAGCATAAATTAGCAATCATAAAATAAATGTAAAGAAGTTCTGTAAAATTCTCTTTCCTCATTATTAAACATAAAATATAAAGTTATTTGAAAAAAAAAAAGCATTTTTTGGTACCACTGCTTTGCTGATGCCCGAAACATTCTTACTGTTCCTACTGGGCAAGCCAGTGCTGAGTTTCTGGGCTGCAGAACTCGGCCTGCCGCTCAGGACTGTGGATTTGCAGATGCAAAGACTAACACAGGAGTTCCAACACAGGCAGCCAGGACGTGGTTCCTGGGAAGAACCAGCTCTCTCAGTGACAGCCTTCAGGGCTCGGAATCCTCACCTCTCCCCATGTAGTCTTTTTCTTTATCTGCTGAGAAGCTATAATGGATTTCTGCCATGCATTAGCAGGTGAACATTTCACTCATCAGTTGCCACAATTGTGTTTATCTCTTAGAGGAGGAAGGGAAGGAAAACTCTTTAATCCCTTTGCTTTCAGTTTTGTCCTTTGGTTACAGAGCATTAACTAGTATTATGTGTCCACTGGAGGCAGACATACAGGCAGTAATGGAGCTCTTCCAGGGAAAACTCCCATTTTTCCTTCTTATAAAACAATCTACTCCTTTCTCTAAGCAACAGTTCAACGGAAGTTGAGTAAGTCATTCGTAAGCTCATTGCACCATGCCATTTATTGCAAAGCTGTCCCACATCTTCAGGTTCACCCTACCCCCTTTTCTTCCCTGTTTAACAATTATACCATGGCTCAGCCTTGAAAGCTAGTGGTGTTAGTACTCCCAGTAATGTTTGTTCTCATAAAAATGATACAAAGTGCAGCAAGGAGGTTTCTCCTCTGCTTATGCGGATACATCCAGGCCCCCCGCCCCAGGTAGGCAGAATTCTAGGATCCCCCCAAGATACTTGTCCTCTCCTGTATGTACCCTATGTAGTCCCCCACCAGCTTGAGGGTAGGTGAAACCTGTGAATTCTATTACATTATATGGCAATGGGGAGTTTAAGATCCCTACTCAGTTGACTTTGAGTTCATCAAACGGGAGATGATTTTCTTGAGTTTATCTGGCCTAATCAGCTGAGCTTTAAAAAAAAAAAAAAAAAAAGACAAGAAGCAGCAGAGACATTCTCTTGTTGGCCATGAAGAAGCAAACTGCCACACTGGAGAGAAGGCTGTGTGGCAAGTAATGGCAACAGCCTCTAGGAACGAGGGCCTCAGTTCTACAACTCAAAGGAACTGCATTTTGCCCACAACCACTGAGCTTGGGAGGAGCCCCCAGGGCTCAGATGAGAACTCAGCCCCAACCCAAACCTTGACTGCAGCCCAGTGGGACCCTGAGCAGAGGACCCAGTGAACCTGTGTCCAGAGCCCAGACCCGTAAGATAGTAAACGGGTGGTATTCTAAGCTGCTAAATTTGCGATACGTTGTTAACGCAATTACAGACAACTAATACACCCTCCCACTACTTCCCTAGAGCCGGTTGCTTGCCTTGCCTGGTACTTTCCTCTTCTCCCTTTGTTATTGCTCTTCAACAAAGGGGTATATGATGGCATGGATTACAATGGGAAATAGGGTTATGTGCCTCATTTTTATTCCCTACAGCAGAAAAAAGGTTACGTGGGTGTACCATTTCTCCTGTCCAACTATAAGCTCTCACAGAGAGCTCGGGCTATATGCCAAGCTGTATATTGTGTGTATTACATTCCTGGTATCTTCACACAACC